AAAAAAAAAAAAAAACAAGTAGTGCTAGTCAAATGACAAAACGAGTTTTTGGCGTATACTGGCGAAAATAATGTAATCAATAAACTGCAAAAAATATGCGGCTCAGAAAAAAATTAATGAAATACCAATGAAAAAAAGAGCTGGATAAGTTGGTAAAAATGCGACGACAAACAATAAAAACCAACTAGCTTCCTTCCCCCAAGGGGAGGAAAATAAGATTTATACAAACGAAGACACACTGCGTACAAAACAACACAAGACAGAGTTTAAGCTATGAACCAATTGCTTTCCAACATAACAAATCATTTCCTGATACGTTTTGCTGTGCAGGGTTGTCAAAGGTAGCACAGGCTTCTTCAGCTACGCACTGCAATCCGCCTATATCAGCAAGCGACACACCACGCTACGAAATATCGATTTTATGAGCGCCACTGTGAATAAGTTTGACAGTACTCAATGCACGTACGTCATCGACAAGCAACAAAAAAGAAAATGTACCCTCCACAGTTTGAGTTACCAATTCAATACATTCTCAGCAACGACCAAATTCGGGAAAAAAAAAGGTGAAAAACTGCTTATTGTTCCTCCCGAAACTATTTATAGTACTGGCTCAACAACACTTAAGATGATATTCAAAACCGATATAACAAAAAAAAAACTCAAGATCCACAAATATGTCTGCAAAACCAATACCCAGTCATAATTTTTCTGGAGTTCTGAAAAAAAGTACGCAAGAAAAATTGTCCTAAATTAATTTAAGTGGAAGCCATAAATTAACTATATAAGTGTTGCTAAAAAACATACAGTGCGCCGAGTATAATAGAACGGTCAGTTTATGTTATGAGGGCATTCTGGCGCGGAAGAGAAGAGAACCGAAAACACTCAATGAATACAAATAGGGAGTAGAGAATCAGAGAACATGCAGTCAGAAAAACCGCAGCAGCCAATGCAAAGAGATATTGGGAATGCCGAAGATAAGAGACTGTCCCCTTCCGTGAGAGGCACAATATATCAAAGAAAAGCACAAATAATGCACTTCACTGGGAAACTCTCTGACCAAACTGCTACCTATACATATCGAAATAGTACACAAACCGAACACTTGAAATTAAAACACCATTTTCCACCTAGTTAACCTTTATCCTCGTACTACACTTTCAGAATACAAATACTCCCGTTACTTCCAACTTACTGTAGGCATTCTTTTATGGTTACATCAACAATACAGCAAATTATGGAAAGATTCAGGTGCCTCAAAAACGAAGGTAGCTTTAGGTAAACAGTAATCCCCAAACATCTGATATCTCAATAAAAATCTGGTAAAAAAAGATTAAGCATCCAACTGACCAAGTCACAATGGTGAAAAAATGAAGTCACAATGAGAAATATAGAAACAATATTAACGTACATATAACTTCAGCACCAAAAGTAGCCATCCCAAAAAATATTAAATATTAAAACTTTGACAAACACTTGATGTTACGCGGTTTGATCTGGTTCACAAATGAGTAAAGTTGCAATATACAAAAGCGTCAATCAACGATGATACACAACAACACTGTGTGGCCTTATTGCACGAAAGCTAGCATATAATGGCAGGCGGTTGCGATATTGTATTATATAAAGACGATCAATAAAATCAATTGGGAAGAAAAAACTACGAGTGCGAAAGAAATCTGTATCTATCTAATGTGGTTAGACTTGCACTCTAAAACGGTTAATAACCATTAGTCCCTTAATACAGAAAAAAACCATTTATTACTTTCAGATCCTTCATCGTCCTATATCATAACAAATTAAAATTTTAAATTTAATGCTATTCATACGCTCCCTACCTCAAAACCAAATGATTATTTGATCAGAACCTAATGCTACAACATAGAATACTCAAAATATACAATACACTATTCCCAACAGCGAATTCCAATCAGAAGCGGCTCATGAAAAAATTTTACAAGTAACCTGACGGCAAACTTTCTAAATAAAAACACATACTCTTGTTGACGAATAAAAACAGTAAACTATTTGGTAGAATATATGTTAGTAAAATCAGTAGAAGAGAACTACAATTTTAGCGAAAAATAGCTTCCTCTCCTCACCTATTCATTCCTAACAAAATTAGTTCAAAAACAGTCGCAACTCAATGAAGAACTGTCCTGAAGGGAACTTAGCATTCAATGCGCCTTAACTATATTTTAAAAAATCTAAAAATTTAACGGAACAGGTGGTGATGAAACCCGAATTTTTCTAACACATATTTTGTACAGCAAAATAACACTTAGCATGCACCACTAAACCCTCCGAGATCTGTTTTTTAATGAATAAACTCAATTTACGAAGTAAATGAAATAATTTATATACAAAAGAATCTTACAAGAATAAAGATTCTTACAAGAATCTTTTTACTCAAAAAATAAATAAACAAATGAAAATAAAAATGACAACCTTCAATAACATCCTTTCTAAAGCTGCCAGTAATTTAAGCTTCTAGAAGCAATTTGGACATGATTTACCTGAAGCATATTACTTGATACTTAATCTAACTGTGTTAAAGCGATGAATTAATACACTGCGCAGCTCAAACAATACAAAAACAACAGTGTTTTGCACGTCAGTTGTACTTGCATTCACTAGGATTTTTCAGGTTGCACACTGACTAAATGACAGTTCGTACCAAAACCAAAAAAGTGAACTAAGCTGGTAAATGATAATTAGATTCCTGGGAAGAACTGGTCAGACAAATTTGTCTCAGCTTTCTAAAAATGCAGTCCAGTTTCACTTAATTAGAAAAGGTTTGCATTGAAACTGTGATGGTGAGGCTACCGAACAGAATCGATATTTTCTTTAGAAGCTAAAAACGTTCTACATGGAAAAAATCTTGCCTAAGGTATTTCTTTAGACTGGAACTGGCAGTCTCACTCCCAATATTGAGCGATAGAGCTTACAAATATTTACTATCGGTTGTTTTCAAAGAAAATTTGGTTTAAAACTTGAATGTAACGAAGGAAAAAGATGTAAAGGCAATACCCTTGCTATCAGGAAATTAAACGAGTCACAAAATTTAATGGTAGCTGTTCAGAACATACCCCAGCAGCAGTAGGGAAGGTACGAGGGGCACGAGGTCCTGTATTGAAATATCGCTTTTCAAGCTCGAACGTGTTCTTCGATGCGAAGCTCATCTGTTGAACAACTTCTGCAGCAGTCTCCGTGGTCATCACGAACTTTCAACTTCACATGTACCTTCACCCATAGAACGTTCCCAGTGCTTTTCACGGCAATAAAAACCAGACCTGCAACTTGAAAATAAAAGGCTCAGAACTCCACACTGGTAGTACGTTTAAGAAATGCGACGAAACGAGAACCTCCGTGGTTCTATTAAAAATCTGTTTGGAACTTTACAAATACTTAACTTGAAAACAGTTTCTAGCTTTTCAGTTTTGTCTACAAATGGGCAATTCCTAAACTTCAAACACTTCAGCATGAATGAGGTCACCGCTTAGAAAATTCAAACAGACAGAAGTATTAAATTTTAGAAAAAAATCAGTAAAAAACTTTGACAAGCAAAACTAAGATTGAACAATCTCAATAAAATCCAAATTGAAGTCAACTACGTAAAAACCATCCAGGTAACTCTAGAAACCAACTTTTCCTACACATTAAAAAAATTTAAAAAAAAAGGGTTCACAACTAGTCTGTAAATCCAGCTCGACAAAAAATAAAGGCAAAAAAAAAGAATAAAAACACGTTCATATTACATAACTAGTGAAACAAGTTCAAATAAAGTGAACAACACTAAAGAAAACCAAAAGAAAGTAAAATACTGGCCAACACAGGTAGAAAATCGAAAAACTGTATAGAAAAAAAAAGGAAACCATTACTGAAAACAAAGAAAATGCCAACACAAGAATGAAATCCGAAGCAAGTAAAAATGAAGAAAAAAATAAGTTTGTACCACTACCCGAAAAAACACTTGCATGTACACCGACACATAATCAGAATAGTGTGGATATGTTTACATTATTATACAAGCATCATTCCGCAACGTTAAATGAAAAGAACAAACACAGAGAAACACAGCGAATGCACGCATTGAATATTGATTGCTTTTCTGCACAATGTTAAAGAATTATGGCAAATTTGAGCCACGTGATCTGTAGGATTAAAATCCTTAGTATTCGTAACCTTCTACCTCCTCAACATCTAATCACCAAAGTATTAGAACCTGAGTATGCTTCAACAAGTTAAACTTACCAAACTTAACATTTCAATAAAACTAACTGATGGCTTCGTCTCTGAACCGCCAACCGACCTTCAAACAAAACTTGCTTCAAATGACACTAAGTCACCGACTTTAGAAACATATCACGCAAATAAACGTCAAAAAGACAATAATAAAATATGACGAAATAAACAATGTTGAAAAAGAACCATCTTTAGAAAAAATCAAAATCTCAACTGAAGCACTCTGATCACCATATGCATAAAGCCGCAGAACACCAATTACTTTATCAAAAATGCCGAGAACACACTTCTACACTCTTCTAACTGCCCCCAATAAAAAATAAAATAGAAATACGCGTATCCTTTATGTTGTTTAAATTCATATTTTACACCAATTACTGAACCTCTAACTAAAAGCCGCAATATTCGTACTGTCTGATGATTTACCAGCCCAACTTCTGAAGTAAAGTATATCAAATCCGTCAAACAAATCCTATCAGAAAAATCTATTTAAAAGCACAAGTACAACTCCTATAAAAGATTTTTAGGCGGTGATGCACCCGTGACTTTCATGAAATAAATACAATGACAGTAGCAGTTGCGCTATCATCTGGCTGAAAATAAAAATGAAACCACAGCGTTTGTCATAAGTTAAACAATGTAAATCACAGCATGCCAAGATCGAAAAACCATAAAATAGAACTCTGCAAATCTTGCTCTAAATAACAATAAAAATATCAAGCGAGGAAAAGAAATAAAAAACAAACTTTTAAAACATCATATTTAAGAAGACCAATCAGACACTCCAAAGTCCCCACAACACTGAAAATTTTGAGTTTCAAGAAATGTATTTCTTGTACAAATAGAAATCCGCCACCCTAGGAAACACCGTAACTTCAAGATAAACAGTTCGAAACTACTGCATAATCACTAGTTGACAGAATCGGGCAGTACAACACCAACACGCCTAAAGTCCCATGACACGCAAAAGAATTCTTGAAAGAATACTTTACGACACCTCAACTGAACCAAAAAAAAAAAACAACAATCAGAAAAAAGAAACTGACAAACATTTGAACTGTCCAAAGACGTGCCACTGAACCACATACATACGGGATCAAAGCACTAGAAATTTCTGATTTGCTAAAGGTGAAAGTCGATCAATGGCGTCAAATTAGAATTACGCACCAGATCCCCGCGAAACAGTAAATTCAAAAATTGGCAACTCACCAGTAATCGAATCCACTACCATCATTTTTCACTTATACAACAAACCTGTTAGTTTCTTCTTTCACCCAAACAGCTGCTAAGATCTTTCATTACGGAGTAACCCTTCCAGGAATAAAAAGAAATTAGAAGGAAACACAGCAAAAATGTTTTAAAAGATCCCAAAACTCTTGCGATAATACCTTTATAGTATAAGTTACGGTCCCAAGCACAGTACGTACGAATGTTCCAGAACGAAACAAAATCCCAGAAACTATCCAGTCAAAACCTAAAAACAAACATCTAACGACAACTCCCTCGTAATTCGCTACCAATATTTCATTCAAAAATATACTCACCGCATCAGCAATACTAAACTGGCCAATAAAAACTGGAAAACGGAAACCGACAAATTATTAATATCTTTCTAAACAGAAATACACAGTGGCGAAGACGCTAAAACAAGCCCGTTGTGATCATCCCAAACTCCCACCCAGTACTATAGAAGTTTTTTCAAAATCAATGATAAAAGTTTACCTTCTGTAAAACTAATAACAGCAAAGCCTCCAACCAAAACGTTTGGAAAATTCTGTTGCAAAAGAATTCAAACTTGTGGTAAAACGCGTCCATGAAAGAGTAAACTCTAAAAAACAAACACACAAAAGAGTTAAGTAAAATCGTACACTACCAATGAAAGAATTTGATACAAGCTACAATTTATGTAAAAATCTGAACCACTTCCAAACCAGAAAGCAGTAGCAATATATAAACGAATTTTATAAGCGAATCATAATGATTAAAGGAAAAATCATCCAGAAAATCAAAGAGAAGTAAATAAAAGAAGCGACTCATTGCCAAAAAAAATAAATAAATAAATAACAATAATAATTTGAGCTTCAAAATAATCTACCTATAAAGAGGATACAGGTAAACTTTGTTTTAGAGCGATAATAATAATAATAACATCAATAATAGTAATAGCAGTAATAATGACAACAATTTATAATAACAATAATAATGAGAAAAATGTGAAAAAGAAAAGTCGGTCAA